ACCTTGAGCCGGTGAGATTAGAACCGCTGAACTGCAGATAACAGTCAGCTGAAGTGGCCTGCAGTACTGCACCCTAACCACTGCACCACCTCGGCTCGTAACGTCTTTCTTGCAGACGTTTCATTACCGAGCTAGGTAACAACATCAGTACCGTCCCAAAGGTGCTTTTTCAAGAGGCGACTGGGTTTCTGGTTTGGAAGACGTTTCGTTTCTCATCCAAGAAGCTTCTTCAAAGCTGAAGAAGCATCTTGGATGAGAAGTGAAATGTCTTCAAAGAAAACCAAGAAAGTCCAGTTGCCTCTTGAAAAAAACACCTTTGGGACAACCATGACCTGGATGACTGAGAATCTCCATAGATATTTAGCTAGTACTGTATTGACAATCTTACCTAGAGCACCAAGGATCCCACAGTTAACCCTGAGCTACAAGTATTGTATTCAATTGGTCGTTCATAACTTTTCTGACTCCCCAAATATAGGCACTCCAAAATGTCAATGTGCCTCTTGGCATGAAAACTAACCTCATCCTGTTTTTTTTTACCTCTCAAGGTGTCAAACATTCAAGCTAGAACAGTTTCGCTCACTTGGTCTCCTCCAAATGGTCTTTCAAGTGAAGATAGACTCAGCAATGGTTTGCCTTATACTTGTACTTACGAAGTTGCCTTATCAGACAAAGGGAGGGATGGAAAATACAAAACAATCTACAGGTAAAATTCTGCATGTGCACGACGTTAGGTGTCATGGTTTCTATTTGAAGCAGCAAGGCCTGGAAGCAAATCCACATATTTTTTTTGTAGAGTTGAGTACCATTTCATTATCAAAATGAAAGGGCGGCAGTTTGGCGGTTCGAATCCCTAGCACTGTGTAATGGAGTGAGCTCCCTTTATTTGTCCCAGCTTCTGCCAACCTAGCAGTTCGAAAGCATGTAAAAATGCAAGTAGAAAAATAGGGATTCCCTTTGGTGGGAAGGTAACAGCGTTCTGTGCGCCTTCGGCGTTTGGTCATGCAACATCCACATGACCACGGAGACGTCTTCGGACAGTGCCGCCTCTTCAGCTTTGAAACGGAGATGAGCAGCGACCCCTAGAATGGGGAACAACTAGCACATATGTGCGAGGGGAACCTTTACCTTTACCTAGAATATGAATAGGTGAAAAAAGAGTGGAAAATCTTTTAGATTTCTAACTTCCTCCTTTTGTGCACTGTTTATTACAATATTAATAAATGTTTAGGTCTACTAGAAACCAAAATGATTATGTTTACCATGCTATGTGATCTATGCATGCAAATTCTTGTTCCAATTTGGTTTGGATTAGTGTTAAACTTCTGTTGTGAATATTTGTTAATTTTCCCATAGTTGCATGTTTCCAATCAGATATTGTTGGGATTATATTTTTCTTTTGGTATTGGGCAAAATTTATTCTCATTACTGAGGTCATGTATATAATTGGAATATATCGGATGGGATCTTAATATATAGGGCATATTTGCTGAATAATTCAGTACTGCACTTTTCATTTTGTTTGTTTGTTACAACTCTGTCTCTTTTCCAGTGGAGAAGAATTGGAATACAAACTGAAAGATCTTAGGCCTGCAACAGAATATCATGTCAGGTGAGACTTCGCAACTTAATACATTTCATTCTAGATATCATAATAGACATTCCAAAATTGATGTGTTCTGGCAAATGTTGACAACAGTAACGATGCATGAATGTTTTAAAATAAGCATGTTTTTCACTTTGGGGATTCAGCCAAGTGAATGCTGACAAATGTCCCAAACTGACTATCAGCTTTCAGTAATGTATCATAGAAGGGGTTGGTTTTTTTAGCTGTTCACAAAATTTTCTAGCCTTGTCAATATTTGCAAGGCTTAACGGAGCATGGGACTTTTTGGAACCTGATAGTAAAGTAGTGTTGTGGCCCGCCAGCAGAGCTGGCAGCAGATTCGGAGAGTGAGGAGGTTGGGGAGGAACATGGGCCAGTCCTGGAGTCTGAGGAAGGCTCTGATGAAGGCTCTGTGTTAGAGGCAGAGAGAGAGCCAGGGCCGTATGCCAGTTATCAGATGCCTTCAGAGTCAGACATCAGTGGAGCAGACGAACAGCTGGAGCCTGTTCCCAGTGTGCGCATGCGAAGAGTTCCCGGACAAAGGGAACAGCTAAAGAACAGGGGTCGACTTGGGAGTAAGGCCAAGGGTGGATGTTGAATGGCCCCTCCCAGAGGAAATAAAAGAGGAGCGAAAATGGAGTGGAGTATGCAGGAGACAATTAGTTTGCTTAATTGGTTCGTGACTCTCCCGAGACTCCTTGCCAAGTTTTGCAGATATCAGCCTGGCAGCTGTCCAAGCCAGATAAGGTCTGTGACTGTAAATCCTCCCTTGAAAGACTTTGTTGGATGTGAATGAGCAGAATTCACAATAACTTAATAAAAGGGGTTTTTGTTTGCTTCATGCTCTTGGGAAGCCTAGGTCAGGACAAGTAGATAAAATTAAGCCTGTGAAAATGCTGTGTATTTTAAAATTACATTGGACAAGGACTGGTGATTCTCTTTGCCAGCTGTCCATTTTTAAAATTTCTGATGATTCCTAAATCTCAAGTTAAATTTTTAGAATGGGTTTTATATGATTCTCAGATGCATTACAAGAACATTTGACAACCTGAAGCCTCCATGCAGTCATTAGCCTTATTCTGGCCAGCTGAAGCAACCATGACCATTGATTTATTTATTAGATTTATATCATATTAATTTATCATTGTTTTTCTGATTGCTGTAAAACCCTTAATTTTCCATCATCCCCAACTCTGCAATCTCAAAGGAATTGCTTTTAAAAGACTGGATTCAAACTTTTCAAGATTTTTAAAGATTTTCTACCTGACTTGAAAAAAGGGGAGTTTTCTCTCTCTGTCCTGAATGCTTTTGCATCTAATCACGCTGGACGTAATTCCTCACAAACAGGAAGAGTTTGTCAGTATTACTGGGGAATAAGAATAAAGTCTTTAGAATCAGTGTTACTAGATGGTGTTCTAAAAACAGAAGAAATCGTTCAGTTCCGCTTTGTAAGACGCTGAACAAGAATGACATTTTGTATCTACGACCAGGAAATAATTCAGCTTTTCACATTTGAATAGTGGCTTAATTATGCCAGCCATTTCAGGAGGATGAAAGAAATAAATAGAAAATCTGTTATGGAACATTCGCTATAGATAAACATGCCAGAGTGAATAATCACAGAAGCTGAGAATTGTGGGATGGATCTAGACTTAGATTCAGTTAAATTAAGAGGACCTAAATTTGTAAGCATCTTAACTCCATTGGTTTCTAATGAACCACTCTAAGCAGGGATGTCAAACTGAAGGCCTGCAGGCCTCATCCAGCGTGTGGGGTGCTTAGAACTGGAAACAGTGAAGGACCGCCCTGTGGTGCCTCACAGGCAGCTCTCCTGCGAGGCAGGAGGGGCGCCTGTGTGCCCTGAGTGCTCTGCCAGCGGAAATGGGCTCTCGGGCTCTGTTTTCGCTGGCAGAGGGTTGCAAGGCCGTCACAGCCTAAAACGGAGCTCAGGAGCCATTTTCGCTGGCAGAGCGCTCAGGGTCCCACAGGCGCCCCCAACACGAGTGACGTTGAGCTGGCTATTCCCACCAGGGCCACGCCCACCCCTAGGCCAAAAACAACCTTGATGCGACCCTCAATGAAATCGAGTTTGACACCCCTGACTCCTGAGCATTGTGCCAGACTAAGGAACAAATTTCTGAATTTCTCTTTATAATCAGAAACCTGCTTCTGACTACAAATAGTCATCCAAACCCAGGATGAGTATATTCCTGAATTTTAAAAAGAAATTTACGTTAGCCAGTCACCGCAACAAAGATTATTTGAACTCCTGTTCTTGCTTCTGAGAAAATTTGCTGCTTTATTTTTATTTTGTTTCATATCTTCTTTCATTTTGTATTCACATATCAATAATGAAGGTGGCTGTCAGGTATAATAAAAGAAAGTGAGGTCCCATCCAAACACTAACCAAGGACAGTCCTGCTTAACTTGTGAGACTAGCCAAATGCTGCCATCTGCTGAAGTTTTTTTTTTTTTTTAATGAAGTTATCCAGCAGATAAAATAATTTTATTATTACCCTAGATTATGCAAATGGAGTTTATATCAAGGCAAGCCATTAAAGTACACAAAGATCTGGATGTTATTTTAGGTCTAGATTGCAGTCATTAATAATTGGATGTTGTTTTACAGGTATAAACTGTTCTCTGAAATACATCATTATATTTTG